ATAAAGAGTTGATAGTTTCTCACTACCTAGTTTATTTCCTCTGGTGGGATGGGGTTCAGAACAGGGGACACAAACTTAAAATTCAGGTTGATGTAAGAAAGCATATCTTCACACAGACTATTGTAGAAATCTGGATATCCCTTTACCAATTTAGGAATTTCCTCCCTTTATCCCTTAACCTCTCTCTCCTCATTTAAGTCCTTAAAACCAATGCCTGTCACTTTCCTAAATGTCTCCTTAAGTAGCTCAGTGTCAAACTTTGTTTTACAACTCTCCTGTGAAGCAACTTGGAATGTTTTATAATGTTAAAGACGCTATATGAATACAAGTTGTTGATGATTTCTCATTCTAGGTCTTAATGAAAAATGGGATGAGTTTGGTCTGGATGCCTGCAAGAGCCTCATTTCCCTGACAGATGTATCCTGCTGTAGAGTGTAGGGCCGCGTGAACATATAAATCACGAGCAGGAGTGGGCCAATCAGTCCCTCAAGCCTGCTCTACCATTTGATACGATCATTGCTGATCTGATTGCTCCACGTTCCGGCCTATCCTCGATAACCTTTCACCCCCTCACTGTCGTTTGCTTATCAAAAATCAATCCATTTCTGCCTTAGGAAATATTCAGAGTCTACTTCCACTGTTTGGAGACAAAGAGTTCCAAAGACTTATGACCCTCTGTGAGAAAAAAAGATCTCCTCATCTCTGTCTTACACAGATTTGTTATTTTGAAACAGTGGCCTCAGTTGTGGGTAGTTAATTCATTTGTCTGCACTGCTTTTTTTATTTCCTCCTCTTCAGCCTCAGATTTCGTTCCTCAGGAGTAACTTAAGAGGCCATTCATCCATATGCATGTTAATACTAATGGTGGCATGGTCACTTTAACTAGGTTGGGTGCTTGCTGCGATTCTACAGCTGACGTTGAGCATGACTGTCCACACGGACATTTTCCAGCAAGGGGCGCTAAACAAAAGCCAGCAGCAGGGAGGAAATGCTAGTTGATTTAATTCTTTTTCACATCTCTAGCCAATTCTAATGCCTGAACAAACATGTAAAACCTATTTTAAAACATATTTCTTTTTGGGTCCAAGACTTTCAACAGTACAAAGAAAGACAAGAGCACAGAGCAGGTGTGCATAAGAAGCAAGTTCAGACTTTGTAAATGAGAGAGAGAGAGAAAAAAAAACATGTCCCTACAGAGCTAACTCTGAGTATGGTGACAAGGCTGATATAATTGTGTAATTATCCAGATGGATTATTACAGCTTGAGATGTCAGGAGACGTTTATGGCTACATGACCTGCAGCTTTCAAGTGATAGAATGCTTCTCACCTCCACACTTGCTCACGTGATGAGGTTGGAATTTGAACTGAGCTGTTTGGACTTGTAATTGGAGACAGACATTTACTGAGACAAACATGGTTACCCACTTGATTTGGCATCCTGTTCCTGTACTGCAACATCCTGTGTGTATTTTAGTGAGCTGCTTTTATTTTTATTACATATATGATCCGGAATAAATTTTCTGGCATTCAAAACTTTTTAAAAGAATTTTCTAACCTCCAGCTTAGGACAGAAAAGAACTTTCTGAGGCTGGGTGCCTGAATTTCCTCAGATGCCTGTGATTCTGCTGCCATTGGTAAATTCCATGCAGTTCATGGGAAATCTATCGTGAAGAAAGATGGTCTGAATAGTGTGCCCCTCAACACGTAGGAGACAGGGAGAAAGCAAGTAGCACTTTAAGAAAACAAAATCAACAAATTTTATTCTATATTGATTGAGCACAAGCATTTTATTATCACTTACTGTCGTCAAATCTTTTGATTCTTAAATTAATATTATTTATGTAATAATTCCTTAACTTGGGATAAACTCAAGAGACGTGGTTTTGGAAAAATGGGATTCACAGAATTCAGTAATCTCTGGAGTAAAATCTGCCAATGGACAGTGAGTATTGGGAAAGGAAATTTTACCTTGTGCTGTGGCAGAGCAGAGTTTAATATGTTTGCACACAAGAACACCAGTGATTGAGTGAGACCAGGTGAGAGTACTGGAACCGGTCCCGAGCAACACACCATTAGACAATATGACGTAGGAACAGAAATTAGGACATTCAGCCCATCGAATCTGCTCTGCCATTCAATCATGGCTGATAAGTTTTTCAACTCCATTCTCCCACTTTCTCCCTGTAACCTTTGATCCCCTTAACAATCAGGAACCTGTCTATTTCTGTCTTAATGACCTGGCCTCCACAGCCCTCTGGGGCAATAAATTCCATAGATTCGCCACTATCTGGCTAAAGAAGTTTCTCCTTATCTCTATTCTAAAGGGTCTTCCCTTTACTCTAAGGCTGTATCCTCAGGTCCTAGTCTCTCCTACCAATGGAAACATCTTCCCAACATTCGCCCTGTCCAGTCCATCCAGTATTCTGTAAGTTCCAATTAGATTTCTTTAAACTCAATCGAGTGTAGATCCAGAATCCTGAAACATTAAGCCTTTCATTCCTGAGATAATTCTCATTAACCTTCTCTGGACCTGCTCCAGGGCCACTACATTCTTCCTAAGGTATGGAGCCCAAAATTGCACACAGAACTCTAAATGTGGTCTGACCAGAGCTTTACAAAGCCTCAGAAGTACATCCCTACTTTTATATTCTAGTCCTCTCGAGATAAATGCCAACATTGTATTTGCACTCTAGCTGTGTTCTACAGGGGAGGAGACTACTTGGAGCAGTGAAGGATACATGCAATTTAAGAGGTGTTTAAAATTATTAAGATGCATTATAAAAACTTTGAATAGTCTCTTCTATTTACTATACAGAAGCAGGTAATCAGAAGATACAATTTAGAAGGTGCTAAGCTGCCTGATGTCTAAATTATGATTTTAAATTCTCAATCTTACTGAGCTCTGCCTTTTTGCAACATGACAAGCTGAGGGAATTGTGCCATGGTAAATCAGAATTGCTTAGCTTGAGCCCAGACATGCCTGTGTTTGCCTTGCACATATATAGATACCAGGTGCTGTAATAAAATTTCATTCAATTCTTCAGTAGGACGTGACCTACACTTCATCTTTCCATTACGAGAGCCAACATAAATATTACAGCATCATACTGACAGATCATCAGTACATCAGCCACCACCTTATGTAAAGTTGTGTTTTGACATCTTTTGGGAAATGCAGGAAAGTGCAATAATTAATGCAAGCAAATTCTGAAAGAAACGCCACTAACCAATTTTATCATTCAAACAAATTGTGATATAAAGTTGACCTCTTTTGCAGCAATTAATCTTTTTCACTTTATTTTCTTCAGCGAGTTTTCAATCAGTTCGATAAGGATGGATCAGGGACCATGAACAGTCAGGAAATGTTCAGCGCCTTGCAAGCAGCAGGTGGGGTTATAGAGCAAACTTCAGCCCTGCAAAGTAACAGTGACAAGGAGCAGGCGTGACACTCGTGCTAGGGAACAGCACTCCAGCTCAATTGTTAACTTATTCCTCAACACTGACCGTTTATTTCCCAATGAATTCTTTACCATACTTGGGTTACCAAACAGGGAATGGATTAACCAGCACCTTGGTGTGATAGGCTCATTCTAGGAATGAGGGGGATAAGTGTTTGTTCTTGATCAAAAACCCTCCAACCCCCACACGAAGGGAGTTCTTAGCTGTCTGTGTCTACAAGACAATCCCCAGCGAGAGATGAATACCAAAAGAATTTGGGGACATATAGCAATCCACTGAGTTGAGTTCTTGTTTATTTATCAAGCTTTTAAACCTCTGGGTAATACAGTACAATCTGACCTACTTTAATAATGCTTAGGCCAATGCCTTGTCTCCTGGATTAATTATTTCTCCTTTTTTGGATAAAGCCTGCTAAGCCACTAACATGTTCCTTGTGACAAACCCCATCTGTTGAATGGCAGTTTTGACTGACTGCAGTGAGAGTAGTCCTTGCTAAACAGGTTCAGGCCAAGGCAGGACCCCTCTGCCGCCAGCCTCCACCGCAGGGTCTCTGTATGAAACGCCGACTCTTGTCGAGAAACATTTCTGAGGAGAATTGCCTCCACAGCCTAAGGGGTGGACTGATAAAACTCTGCAAATGGGGAGGATGTTAATGGATTTGGGGTTTTGCATTTGTAAAATGAATGAATAACTTTTCCCTAGGATTCCAGGTGGATGAGTTCTTGATGCAGCTGATTGGGCTGAGGTACACAGACCCCGATCTGACCTTCAGTTATGTGACATTCATTTGCTGTCTGACAAAGCTGGACACAATGATCCGTGAGTAACTTGTACTTTTTCTTACCCTGAAGTATGTGAGCCAGCTACAAAGCCCAGACCCTGGTTGGGGGAGTTTAACTAGGGAAAGACAGCTACAGTTGGGTGTCATTGTCATTCGCTGAGATCGAGAGAGACTTGATTCCACAAACCTTGTGACTTGTAAGCCTGACTTATATCTGCCTGGAACTCAGTTTAAAGAGATTACTTTAAGGATTGGTGTTGAAAATACTTTGACTTATGTGCTCATTGTGGAAGTGAAATGTCTTAAAATACTTTGGATAACGAATTTTACAATGCACTGATTCCTCACTTATGCATCACCTGAGGCTGAGACTTCAGTGCAGTATTGACGGAGTGCTGCAGTGTCACAGCAGCAATCATTCACCCCTGATTGGCCTTTTGGGTGAATGTAAAAGATCCTCTGGCCACTCCACTATTTTGCAGAAGAGAAGGGAAGTTCTGTCTCATCATATCCAATATTTATTGCTCAACTAATATCACCAGTTGATCTGGTCATTATCACATGGCTGTTTGTGGGAAATTGCTGTGTGCAATCTTCCGGTGAGAAGTAGGACTCCTAAGCCTGGGGCTCGTCTGCTCCATTCACTTTGCTTTTCTTTTTGTTTCTTTTTCTTTCTTTCCTTGTGTTTTTTCTCTTTTGTTTGACTTATCCCTTGATGAAGAGCTTGGGAGCTGGCAGCAATGGCATTGGCAGTGGCAAGCAAGCCCAGCGCGGACTCGTGGCGGTCGGCATGTAGGCCCAGCGCGGACTCGTGGCGGTCGGCATGTAGGCCCAGCGCGGACTCGTGGCGGTCGGTAAGCAGGCCCAGCGTCAGAGAGAGTTTGGGTACATCAATGAAAAGGTCCTAGTGCCAACTCATGGCTGCTGTGGTGGAAGCAAGTTTGGGTTCCCGGCAGCCTCTGTGTCCGGTGCAGATTCATGGAGATGGAGGCGAGTTTGAGATTAGTACGAGACCCTGCGGCATTGGTAGCGGCTACATCGGCCACATGGGCCCGAAGCAGTCTCATGGTGTCGGCAGAGTCGGGTTTGGGCCAGTGTGGTACCTGGCGTCGGTGGCATCTGCATTGGCGAAGTGCAGCAAGGACTCCTAGTGGCGAGGGCATCGATGCAGGCGAGATGGCACCAGAGAGGGGTGACTTCCATTCCAGCAGCAGCTGCTCAGTGAACTGACTTGTGCCAGGCTGTCGGGCCATGGCAAAGCACTGAACAAGAAGGACCGTAAAGTTGAACAACTTTTCTTTACTCTTCTGCATTTATATTCTATATTTTGGTTTATTTTTCTGTGTTTTAAGATGGCACTGGAAAGTGGTGACACTATACAACACTTTTCACTATATTTTGTAACAAAATACACATGACAATAAATAAATCAAATTAACTTGCCAGGTTTCCCCATACCAATAGTGACTGCACTTCAGAAAGTACCTCATTGGATGTCCTGAGGTCATGTAAAGCTCTGTAAGAGTCTCTCTTCCTTAACTGTCATCTCTTTGCAATGCATTGCAAGCTCCTTAATATCTCCCGAAAGCCCTGGAACCATCAAGTAGGTCTTTGACTTAACATCTAACCCAAAGAATGTGACCCCTCTCCTAGCTTTACATGCAATCTCTGAGTTACAAAGGCTGCCATTAGACACTAAGAAAATGTCAGAAAACCAAATGCTTTAGAAAAGAGATAAGAAAGAAAAACTGCAAGTGGCGGAAATGCAAAGTCAAATCAGAAAATGCTGGGAATAGTCAGCAACTGAATCAGCATTGAAAGGAGATAAGGTGAATTAGTGTCTTGGGTGGAACCACTGATCTATAATCTCGCTCAAACAGTCTACCTATCAGATGGTGACTGACTTGCTTTGCATTTCCGGCAATTTTCTGGTTTATATCCTGGATGTTTTGAAACCATTCTGTGTGAGAGTGGCTTGGTGGAATGTACTGGATCAAAACTATGTCTTCTAGTCAGATATTTGCTAAGGATTCTTAGACTAGACACCACATCATTCTGTGGCCTGGGTGTTTACAATTATAAACGTGATATAAAAGGAAATTTCTTTTCAGTTGAGGTGATATGAATATTGTGCATAAATCTGTTAATATTGTAAGACACCAAGTGAACTCTAGGGAACGATGTTGTTTGATGTAAAGAAATACTGAATTTGTATAGCACCTTTCACAACCACTGGACATCCCAGAGATGTTAAAGCCAATTAATTATTTTTTGAAGTGTTATACTGTTGCAGTGTAGGAGGTCTGGCAATTAACTTGCACTTAACAAATCTCCACTAGCAGCAATGTGATGATGCACCAGATAATGTTTTTTCTGATGTTGATTTATGGGATAAATAATGGCCGGGATACCAGGGAACACTTCCCTGCAGTTCTCCACGGTGCCTCATGATCCTTTACATCCATTCGAGCAGGCAGATGGGGTCTCAATTCAACAACTCATCTGAAAGATAGCACTCTCTGACAGCACAATATTCCCTCAGTACTGCAGAGCTTCATTGAAATGTCAGCTTAGATTTTTGTACTCCAGCTGGATTCGGCATATAAATGGAGTGGCAATAAGCGGGCCAGAGTTGAAGAATCCTGCAATGAGTAATTCACCTCCTGATTCTCCAAAGTCTGTCGATCATCTACAAGGAGTGCGATGGATTACTCCCCACTTGCTTGGATGAGCACAGCTCCAACAACACTCAAAGTTTGACACCATCTAGGACAAAGCAGCCCCTGATCCACAATCATCCACTCCTCTGCCATTGATACTTAGCAGCAGCAGTGTGTACCATCTGAAGATGCGCTGCAGAAATTCACCAAAGCTGCTGAGACAGCACCTTACGAACTGAGAGAGTTTTTCTGAAGAAGGGTCCAGACCGGAAACGTCAGCTTTCCTGCTCCTCTGATGCTGCTTGGCCTGCTGTGTTCATCCAGCTCTACACCTGGTTATCTCACCTTACAAACTGACAAGCATTTCCATCTCGAAGGATAAGAGCAGCAGATACACAGGAACACCACCACTTCCGAGTTCCCCTTCAAGCCCCTCACCAGCCTGACTTGCAAATATATCGCCTATCTGTCACTATTGCTGGGTCAAAATCCTGGAACTCACGCCCTAACACCATTGTGGGTCTACTTACATGCAGCACATGGACTGCAGCAGTTTAGGAAGGCAGCTCACCACCACCTTGTCAAGGGGCAACTAGGGACAGGGAATAAATGCTGGCCCAGCCAATGACATCCACATTCAATGAGAGAATTAAAAATAGCCTTGGAGTGTGACTTGAACCAGGAGCTTTTTGATTCAGAAATGTGTGCTACCTACTGAGCCAAGGCTGACACAGGGCTCTGATAAAGAACAATGATAGATTGTAATGACTGTTCAGTTTCCACAGCTCTCTGCACCTTCTCTGAATTTTGATGTAGACTTCAAGATTAAGCTGTATTTATGGGGTAGGCAGATCACTGTTATCGGGTCTCAGTCAACATCAGATGAGGGGCAGAGAATATTGTTTCAATACTCCTAAATTGTTAATGCCATTTCTTAAGGCCCATTTTTCTTCTAAAATCAAGGGTTGCTTGGCATAGCTATGGTAGGCCAATGAGCCTGTTTCTGTGCTGTATGGCTCCATGACTCTCAGGGCTTGTGATGGGATTATAGTTGAGTTGAGGCTATTCAGAAAGGCCAGGAGTAAAGTTGGGTCACAGCTCTCAATTAAAGAACGAATTTTTTTTTTAGAAAACAGTTCAGCAATTTAATGGTTATTTTTGTGGTGTAGCCAGAGAATACAAAATGTATTGAATAAAAACAAAATACTCTGGATGCTGCAAATTTGAAATAAAAACAAAGTGCTGGAGAAACACAGCAAGTCTAGCGGCATCAGTGGAGATAGAGAGAGAGACAATATGACTCTTCTAAACTGACTTATTCATTTTTGCAATTTTGGTCCAATGAAATTTGAACGTGACTTCTAAGTTGTTAAACCAGCTTCATAGCCACTGGACTGTTGTGCTGTGTGTTTGGCTCAGTTCCATAGGTAGGCATGTGCTGAGAAGCAGTCAGTGGGGAGCCAATGCTCCACCCTTCCATCACGCATACCAATGTGCAAGATTATCTCATAGAAGAAATCTGTAAAAGCAGTGTTACAACTTGTTTATGGTCCTGTCTTTTTAAAGGTGTGTTCGCACCAAAGGTTTAAATTCCATTTTAAGGGGTGTGACCTGGGCAGGGTCCTGAGTTTCTGACATAACAGCAGGATCACTGCATTTAAAGATTTATATATGTTCTGCTTCCGGCCCTGAATCTCTATTGCATTGAAAACTTGTGAATATTTCTGTATAGGCTGGAAAAAAATGTGTACATTTCTACAGCATCTTTCAAGATTTCCATGATCTTTTATAGCCAGTGAAGTACTTTTTGAAGTATATTTACTATTGTAGGAGATATAGTAACCAATTTGTGGACAGCAAATTTCCATAAACAAGCTTGAGATAAATGACCAGGTAATCTGTTTCAGTCATAGTCCTTTATGGCACTAAACATGGAGGCTACTCAACCCATTCAGTTCAAACAAGTTCCCTGTGGAACAATCCAGTTAGTCCTATTCCCTCACCTGGTCCCTGTAACCCAGCAAGCTTATTTTCTTCAAAAGTCCCTTCAAATCCCTTTTGAAATCATTGATTTTTTTGGCTTCCAACTCTCCATGGGCAGAGTGTTCCAGATCATTCCACTCCCTGCATAAAAAGATTTTCCTCATATTTCCCCTGTATCTCTTGCCTGAAATCTTAAATCTGGTCCCTTAGTAATTCTAGAGTCAGATAATGGGAAGAGCTTTAATCCTGTTGCATTCTTGTACACTCCAACCAAATCTACACCCCAATCTCCTTTTCTCCACGGAGAACAATCCCAGTCTTTCCTTGTACCTGAAACCTTGCCATTCTGCTATTTTCCTCTGCATCCTCTTGATGATATTCGTATCTTTCTTAAAATGTGGAGGTGGCTAGGGGGTATATATTGACCAGGACAGTGGGGAAAGCTCCTGTGCTGTTTTGAAACATGCTGAGTGATCTTTTACATCCATCTGAGGAGGGAGGAAGGGGCCTCAATTCAGATGGAAACCAATACCGCAAAAAATTATGCAGTGTGCTATCAGTTCTGGTCTGTGAATGTCGATCAATTTTTTTTGTTCTCTGTTCTCTGCTGTGAAGACATGTTATTTAATATTAATCTGACATTACATCACTCTTAAATAATTAAGGCCTTTTGAACCTAAATGAACAACAATTCCATACAAATGATCATCAATCAGATAAAAGGTAACAGGCACACAACTCGAGATGCCTAAGACTGGCCAGATTAGATGCTGCACATATTTCTCCACCCTGACAATATTGGTTGTGTTGCATGGAAAGAATGTTTATTTTAAATGACAGTGTAGGTTCAAGGCCTTCAGTGAAGGATACCACCAAGGTTAGGAATGAAGAGGAGGTAAATTAAATGACGTTGATTACATTGTTGCCATTTGAGTTTTAAAAGCACAAATGGTTGCATGATCTTAGGAAGGAATTAGTTAGGGAGTAGGTGACAAAGGCAACAATATTTGTAAAGTGCTGTTAACACAGTAAAAAGCTGCAAAGCACTTCACAGAAGCATTATGAAACAAAATATGACACTGAGCCGTATAAGGAGTTATTAGGTCAGATGACCAAAAGCTCAGTCCTAGAGGTAGGTTTTGTTGGGGAAATTGAGGTAGAGAGGAAGAGAGGTGTAGGGAGGGAATTCCAGAGCTTGGGCCTCAGATATCTGAAGGCACACGTAAAAGAAACATGAAGAGCATAACTAGAGACAATCAATATGAAATAGTCGCCAAGGAGTCCAATAAGGAACTTTAGAAGTAATGTTTTTACCCAGAGAGTGGTGAGAATGCGGAACTGATGACCACAAGAATGTGTTTGAAACAAATAATACAGATGTATTTCAAAAGGAAGCTAGTGAAGCATATGAGGGAGAATGGAATGGTTATGACAGATTTCAATGAGGAAAGATGAGAGGAGGCATGAGTGAAGCTTAAACACTGACATGGACTAATTGGGCTGAATGGACAGGGTCATAAATCTTCCATAATCCAGTGGAACATACAAAATGAAACGAGTAGACCACTTAGGTCTTTAAGCCTGCTGTGCCATTCAATAGGATCATGGCTAATCCAATTACTCCAGATTGCTGTACCTCCCCACCCACACAGTCACCCCCATTTCAAATCAAGGAGCAAATCGAGAAGTAGCTGTATGGAAGGTTGTGGGGCCAGAAGGAATTAGATTTAGGGAGGGGCAAGATCACAGAGGATTTGAAAACAGGGATGAGATTTTTAAAATTGAGATGTGACTTGACCAGGAATTCCTAAGTCAGCAAACACAGGAGTGTTAATGAATAGAGCTTGGTGTGAGTTAAGACATGAGCATCCAAGCATTGGGTGACTTCCAATTTACAGAGAGTAGAATATCATGTAGAATGTTGTATAGTTATACCAAGCATTGGTAGGACCTCGTGGAATATTGTGTACAGCATGGATTTCCTTATTAAAGGAATGGTGCAGAAGTGTTGGAAGCAGCTCAGAGTATGTTTACTAGACTAATACCTGGTATGGGCAGGTCGTTTTATGAAGAAAAGTTAGAATAGGCTGTACTTGTATCAGTTAGAGTTTAGAAGAGTAAAAAGTGACTTGGTTGACATATATAAGATCCTTAGAGATCTTGACATGATGGATATGGAGAGGATATTTCCTTTTGTGGGAGAATCTAGAATGAGGGGGTCACTGTTTAAAAAGTGAGAGGTTGCTCATTTAAGACCGATGAGGATAATTTTTTTCTCACTGAGGTTCATGAGTCTTTAGGACTCTCTTCTTCAAAAGCTTGTGGAAGCAGAGTCAGTTTTAGCACAGAGCAAAGCAAGGAATGGAAGCTTATTGGGGACGTAGGATTAGGTGGCAGTGTAGATTAATCTGATCAACCATGATGTTATGAAATGGTAGGCCAAGTTCAAAGCACTAACTGGCCTACTCCTTCTGTTTTGTACATTCCATAGGATATATGGTACAGTCCTTTTGGTCCAACCAGTCCATGCCAGTGTTTATGCTGCACTTGAGACTCCTCCCATCTTTCCTCATCAACATGTATCCTAATTCTCTATTCACTTCTCCCTTGCACGCTTCTCTAGCTGCACCTTAAATGCATCTATACAATTTGCTTCAACCACACTCTTGTGATCCCCAGTTCCACATTCTCTTTGGGTAAATTCCAATTGAATTTCTTGGTGAATATCTCATATTGATGGTCTCTAATTATGTTTTTCCCCACAATTGAAAACACTTAAGTATTCACAAGTATTTTTTAAAATGTCAAACCAATTGTGAACATGGATTAAAGATTTTTTGATACCATTCTAGGATCATTCAAAACTATGGACAAGTTTGGAACAGGAGTGATTAATATCACCTATAAAGAGGTAAGCAAGGAGACTCATTCACCAGTAACTTTAAGATGCACTTTGCGAAGATTGAGTTCTTCAGCAAAATATAGACATGATTTCTCACTGTCAATAACAGCATTTTGGGTTCAGCCCCGATGGTATTCCTTACACTCACCATGGCTGACTCCCTCCTCATTTGCACAACCAAATCAAGTTACACCACCTCCACTTGAATGCCTTTGCTCCAGTGAAATGAACCCAGAAACTTATGATTTGTTTAAGCTGGAAGCTGGGTTGCATTTCACTGGAGCAAAGGCTTGGTCCTACATAACCTGAATTTTGCTGTAAAGAGAAACACATTGCTGAGGTTTATGTCTTGCATCTCTTCAGGACAAGTGCAAGCATGCAAAAGTTCAAAAGATCACATTAGTTTATACTACAGGAGAAAAGGGTGCTGATTGATTAGCTGAGACATTACAATGGGGAAAGTAATGAAGAACTATCGACTCTCAACCTCCCAGTTAATTCAAACAAGGCACAAGGCTTGAGCAAAATCTTTTGTTTTCTGAGAATGAGTCTTTG